GTGTCTGTGTGTGTGTGAGAGAGATCATGCTGACGTGTAGCTCGCGCGTGTCCTTCACCTTTAGCGCTGCTGCTCTTTACTCCAGCGGCTGCTGACTGACGGATTGCGCAACACCAGCGCTCATTCTTTCATTCACACCTCCGATGATGATGATGATGATGATGATGATGATGATCAGAAACGCTCTGAATATGAACACTGACTCGTGTGGACGCCTCACCTGAGACCCGCCTGCTGACTCTTCAGTGGCTTGACTTAGTTTGCTGCTGATTATCTGCCTCAAAAAAGCTTATTTTGAATGAACTTTCTACATGCTCTGGTATCAAATGCTTCAATCCTGATAAGGTTTTATCGCAGAGTTGCTGTATGGTATTGCATTACAAAACAGGTTGGAAGATAAAAGTTACGGATGTTCGTTATGACAAGGTGTAGTTCTGTAAATAAAATAAAAAATTACATTGAAATCATAGCTCATGTACAGAACATTACATACGGCCAAATAATTCATTAGTAATCAGTTTGATGGCTTAATCAGATCAGAAAAGCACATTAATCGATCGATTGAGCTTGATCTGAGTGAAATCTGATTAGAGTGTAGACACTGAAATATGACTGCTTCTCAGTCTGATTCAGTAATACATGAAGCACATGTGCAGTGCCATGATTAGATTACATATGTTTCACATCTTCCAAACATGCACACGTGTGTTTAATTCTGTTTTATGAGCTGGCCAGTAGTATTTGCAAAAAAAAAAGCTGTTCTGAAATATTGGTCAGCTTTGTTTATTAATGTGTCATCCAGACAAATACAACCCTGCGACTGAAGAACTGCACAGTGCATCTAATACATATGTGAATGAATGTGTTCATATAAACAAAACTCTGAAATCAGATTGGTCTTAAGTTTTAATTCTCCTATCCACAAATTAAGGCTTTAAAAAGATCTTAAAGCAAAAAGTCGTAAATGTGTAACTTTATGGCATTAAATGTTGCATGCAATGCAAAAAAAATGTTTTGTTTTCCAAAGCGCGACAGAATCGCTCAAATATCACAGCCATTCAGAAGCGCACTGCACTCCCGACGAGATGGACCAGTTTATCATCTAATATTAAACCTTTGAACATTATTAAAAGTACTGAGTGACTGATACCATCTGTGTGCTTTAATTTATTTTCAGGCTCTGAGGTAATCTATGTGTTGCTGCGTTCAGTGTGGCTATAGAGGTCATATTCAAACTCGCATTAGACACTTTTAACACTGAATAAAGCACATAATCAGTACGTGAGGTTATCACTGTTATAGTTTGTATGTTGTTGTTCCAGCCGTGACGTCAGAAATAGAAACGTTGCGTGTAATCGGGCTGATTAGGACAAAAACTCTGATTAACATGGGAAAGATCCCTTTTATCACGTGTTGTTAGGACACGGTGTGAACATCCTTAAATCAAGATACATTCACTGCAAACGGAAGTCTTCTATTTTAACTAAACAAAGTGATGCGAGTTCATGCTTAAGAACGTCATTTTTCTCAGATTGACAGATATTTGTTCTTGAAGCATAAAGTTACTTTATTTTGATCCGTTTGACAGAAAACAAGACTTATTTTGCTTCTCAAGTAAATGTGTCTTGATTTAGGAAACTTAAGACATTTAAACTAGAAAACAAGACAAAAAATACTTTTTTGGTAATGTATTAAAATGTAATGAACATCAAACGGAAGTTGTGTTTTCAAACTTTGAAATGTTACTAATGCAACTCATTCTGGACATTTACATCTAGAGAACTTTAATGATGTTTGTGTTCCCATCCGGTTTTTTTCCCTTTAAGTATTCTTTATTTGGTCTTAAAAGGGTCTTAAATTACTCTCATAAAACCTGCAGAAGCCCTGTGTAAACACGTCTGCTTTTATGGACATATTTCATTCGGTGCAGTGTATCAAACACTTCACATGCATACCTCAGTTCATCTTCATCTGCTCAGACTTCTTCACACTCACCTGTGACCTCTACATTTCATTTCTGATTGTGTTTGTTTAATGATCATAGCGTTCTGCTCAGAGACGTTCAGACATTTCTGTGTGTGTGTATTTACTCAACACACTGCAGAACAGCAGAAATGCAGAGAAATCCATCGTTTGAACCGCAAATGTTTCCGCACTTTTAGTGATTTGATTAATCCTATTCCATACATACTCAAAACGCCTGAAGTTTGACCTGTTAAATCTCTTAATACGTCTATTTCTTTTCAGAAGTTCCACGGCCTGGATATGTCCTTCATATTTGATTGGATTTATAGTGGTTTCAGTAGCGTTCTGCAGTTCCTGGGTAAGTCCCTCTCCAAGTTCATTCGTTAAGAACACGGGTTTCCAGATCGCAACCCAGCTTACTTTGGTAGTGTGAAATATTTCAACAACAGAAACGTAGTGTGTGTGATTTGATGTAATTCTCCAGGAAGTGTTTGGGTCATGGAAAGTGAATGTTTTGTACAGAAATGCAATCAGAGTTGCATGTGAATGTGTTAAAACTGTCAGCTAGCATTATCCAGCAGCCTGCAGAGCTACATCAGTAGAACACCTCATTTCATTCGCCACTGTGTGATAGTTAATGATACTTAATCATAAGTACCATTCAATTGGATAAAATCATTCTGTTTCAGGGCTGTACAAGAAGTCTGGCAAGTTAGTATTCCTCGGTCTGGACAATGCTGGCAAAACGACGCTGCTGCATATGCTCAAAGACGACAGACTGGGTCAGCATGTGCCAACCTTACACCCCAGTAAGTGACCGTTTCAGCACACACACCCAACAGAGATTTCATTTTCAGTCTTCTCTGAATGCATCTGTAGCTTGAAGATAACGAGAGTTCAGCTCTGGATGCGCATGAGCGACAGACTTTTCATTCTTGACTTTGAAACTATACTACACTACTTCCAGTTGGCCGTTCTGTCATATTCACGTAATATTCTATGAAAGCCTGTTTCCACCATGGAGTAAAAAAGGCAATGCAACTCACAGTTCTGACCTTATTTTTTGCAATTCCGAGTTTAAATCTTGTAATTGAGTTATCGCGCAATTCTGACTTTACGGCTTTTTTTTTTTAAATATATGCAATTCCAAGAAGAAATTTCAAGGTTATCTCTTTTTAAGGGTGTCTAATTTCATAGAAGAATCATAAATGTGTGTTTTGTTCAAGAAATGTTTTGGTAAATTCCTTTTCGTTTTCACTATAATGAATGGAATCACACATGACATGTACAGAAAATGAACGTTTCGTTCACAACATGAATACTGTAATCCAGACAGAGCTTTCGTTCACTAAAGTAGGCAGACCCAGAGAAACCCCAGCAGCTGATATTCACTGTAGCATACGTGAAAACAGCATTGTGTGGTCTTTGTTTGAGAAAACATGGTTCCCAGTGAGCACAAACTTTCAGATTACTGATGCATCATTTCAGTGTTTACTTCCTTTTTAGTCTTGTTTTTAACAGTTTCTTCATTGGTGATGGCATTACAGAATTCAGAAGTTATTTATTTCACAAGTTTAAGTAGAAGTGGTTTCAGTCGGAGGCCGAATGTGGACCGGAATAATCCCTGCGTGTGTTTCTCCTCTCAGCCTCAGAGGAGCTGACGATTGCTGGCATGACCTTCACCACGTTCGATCTGGGTGGCCACGCTCAGGGTGAGTAGACGGATCCACACCTCGCCGTCTGTCTGCATCAGATCACGTGTGTGCTCAGTGTTGTGTTTCTGCGCAGCTCGACGAGTGTGGAAGAACTACCTCCCAGCCATCAACGGCATCGTCTTCCTGGTGGACTGCGCCGATCTCATCAGACTGGCCGAGTCCAAAACAGAGCTTGATGTGAGACAACTAACCATTATTTTGATAATTAATTAGTCCAGGGGTGTCCAAATCTGTTCCTGGAGGGCCACTGTCCTGCAGTGTCTAGTTAAACACACCTGAACCTGCTAATCAAGGTCTTCAGACTCGCTAGAAACTTCCAGTGTGCTGGAGCCGGTTTGGACACCACTGGGTTACTCTGTCAATTACTACTATGATTAACCGGATGGAAAAAATATTTTCATTTAAAAATAATTATTTACAAAATGTTTATTCCACATCCTGCCCAATGTTGATCTTCAAACAATATGCAATTTAAGCAATAAAAGCAAATCTCCGTTTATGTAGGGTTAGAATTAAAATTTAGAAATGTGAAACATTTTAATTGAAATCAATTTTTTCATTAAAATTTAAAAATCTCATTTAAAATAAGAGGTTAATTTAAAATGAAAAGTTTAAAATAAGGGGTTAAAGATTAACCTGGAAAATTAAAAAAGGTGAATTAAGGGGTTAAAATATAACCTGAAAATTTTGAAATAAGGGGTTAAAATTTAAATGGAAAACATTTTAAAATGTAAAATAATGGTTAAAATTTTAAAGATAGAAAAAAGATCTGCACACTTATTCTCCCTTTATTCAAAAAAGTTTGCCTGACCAAGGTCTTTGACCGAAATGTTGCTATTTTTAACTTTTTTTGAATAAAGGGAGAATAACAGTGTGCAGATCTTTTTTCTATTATTTGATGTACCTTTTGATCTTGCACCTGGCCAAGGCTTTTTTGGATGTGTGTACATTGACCTCTTTCTTTATGTAAAAATTTTAAACATAAAACAAGGGGTTAACATTTAAAGTGATATTTAAATGGGGGTTAAAATTTAAACGCACCAATTTTAAAATGTAAAATCAGCGGTTCAAATTGTAGCTTTCAAATAAGCTGAAACGTCAAATAAGGGGTTAAAATTGTATAAACTTAAATATTTTTTTACTTAAAACAAGAGGTTAATATTTAAACTAAAAAATGTAAAATAAGGGGTGCAAATTTAAACCACGGGCCAATGTTCGTTCATTGAAGTCTGTGAAGTTTAAAGTCGGGGTGTACTGCTATTTCCACGTTCCACTCCGTCTCGCTTCACATGCGCAGGGCCACCTAGTGGACTGTTTCTGTTACGTCACATGAGCAGTGTGCGATGACCGAAGTATACTTTGGCTCAACGGTGTCTCATGAGCCTTTATGCAATACGCAAACATTTTAAGTGTCTTGATTCATCATGTATCTCCTGTCTAATGCATACTGTACCTGTGTTTGTTGTGCTGGATATAAATAACAGGCACTAATGACAGATGAAACCATCGGAAACGTGCCTATCTTGATCCTCGGCAACAAGATCGACAAACCTGAAGCCATTAGTGAGGAGAAACTGCGCGAGATCTTTGGCCTGTACGGTCAGACGACGGGAAAGGTAAGACTCGGCACTCTTATAGCATGATTGTTTGAGAACGGAGGCCACGGTCCTGCAGAGTTCAGCTCACCTGCCTGGAAGTTTCTAGTATGCCTAGTAAGAGCTTGATTAGCTGCTTCAGGTGTGTTTGATTGGGGTTGGAGCTGAGCTCTGCAGGACTGGACAGCACTGCTCTAGTGTGTCCATCGCCACGGCAACATGTCCTCGTCTTTATTGCAAACTGTGTTGCTGTTGTTGTTTTTAGCACAGGCATACAAACACAACACGATTGCCACAGAAACCAATGCAGATATTGAGTGAAACGAAGCACGTTGTTTGTCTCTTCAGGGCAACGTTCCTCTCAAAGAGCTGAACACGAGACCCCTGGAGGTGTTCATGTGCAGCGTGCTGAAGAGACAGGGCTACGGCGAGGGCTTCCGCTGGCTCTCACAGTACATCGATTAGAGGAAGAGGAAGAAACACACGACTCGACTCCCACAGACTGATATCATTCAGTTCATCAACTCTTTTCTCACATTATTTCTTACGAAAACTGATTCTGTGGATGTGGTAAACTCCAAACAATGCATCTTTGCGTTCACGTCAGTTTTATTTACGCTCTAATTTGATGTTTTTTCTGTCTGTTTATCTGTAAATGATTCTACATGTGTACTGATAACACCACTTCAGAAAGAGCTGATAGAAGTGTACACCGCTTCACATCACATACTTCAAACAGGAAGTGCTTTGACTTCTCTCCAGTGTTTCATTTCCTGTCATGAGGCCGCAGTCCTCGGGCTTTAACATGAAGTCGTGACCGTCTGCTGAAGTGGCCGTGTTGAATTGCATATGTTTTCTGTTGTCCCCAAAAAATTAAAACAATTGTACTGCCACATTCAGAAACTCATTCCCAAAGCTACTGTAAACTGATCGAGACCAATACTTGTTTTTCTTTTTTAATATGATTTGGTATTGAAGAAACCTCAGAGTAATGGGCGAGGATCATTACAAGTGTCTCAGTTGAGCGAGAGAAGCATGCCTTTCACACAAACACAGATTATTATTCTATTTAACTGCTAATGACTAAAAAAAGTTTTGCACAGCAGCTTTAAACAAGCCAATGTTTCTTTAATCTTCATCGACAAAAAAACACAAGTTTCAGAAATATCATCTCCAAAGTGTGTTTAGTACGACATGCGGGCGAGTAATGATGACCTCTGGCTGAACAATCCCTGTAATGGTGTGCAAATTCTCATTACTTACAGTGATGTTCATCTCAAAGGAAGGTTTTGTGTGGTTGCCCACTTCAGCAGAGGAAAATAAGAGAGACGCTCTCCATTTCTTTATGCCACATCCCAGTGGAATATGTATATTTAGCACTGTTCCTCAGGCTCCGCTGTGGATTTCTTTGTGTTGTGTCTAAACAGACAGCAACAGCTGTGATCGGTCCACAGGCACCTTATCCCAGGATTATTAAAAGATATGATAGCTTTGCATCCACTGGGAATGAATGTAATAGAGTGCAGCTCGGCCAATCATAATCAAGGAAGACAACTATTTGCTTTAAACAGCTTTTATAGGTGCACAACTACCATTTCTGATTTTGATGCGATTCTCACACATCAACCATTAATATCTTTTAAAGGGATAGTTCACCTTCAGTTGCTGGTCCCTATTGACTTGCATAGTGTATTTTTCCCCCATTCTATGAAAGTCAATGGGTACCAGCAACTGAAGGTGAACTATCCCTTTAAATGATATGTTAAGTACAATGGTAAATAAACAAAGATATGCATGTGCTAATGCCAATTACAGATTGACATAAAAAAGACAAATCCACTGTTAATATAATACTTTCAAAAAAGAATCTCAGTGATAAAAATAACATTTTATTCACATTCTAAAAATAGTTGCCTATAAAAACAATGTCATTGACCGTCCAGATGTAGGATCTTCTGAATGTCTTCATGTCCGCAGGAGAATTTTTATTCATTTATTTGCTGCTGTGTAGCTGTGCTCAAATGTTTTCTTCTTTCATGATGACTGTTCCTTTCCCTTCCTCCAAGGCGTGTTTATCTCTTCTAATAAAACTAGAGGTAATATTTATTGAAAAGTCAATAGATAAAGGTTTTTCTGTATATATGATTTGTTAAAAACAACAACGACACATAATGCAAGTGACTTACCTTTTGCATTTCTGCATTTGTTCCAGAGTCTCGGGCAGCACTTTTCCAAACGTCTCCGGCAGAAACATGTTTGTTACTGAGGATGCAATGGTCAGGCTTCCCATCAGGATGTAGGGCAGATATTTGTTGAAAGTACCTTTACGAATAGAGAGAAGAACACAGCGTCGTTTCTCCAGTCCACTGTGATGTAAGATATCAAGGATCGCATTTTTTTATCATCCGTCTTGACATTATTCTGGGCCAGTTTGAAGTGATTTGGGTGAAATATAAGAGGAGCATTTGTGCCTGTTGGTGGCGCTATGACTGTGACAGTCACAATCCTGCTTGATGCATTCACCTCACATTTACCATCTGTGAACGTCTCAGAATTGTGTTTAAGCGCCTTTAATGGTTTTGTTTGTGTCTTCAGGGCAACGTTCCTCTCAAAGAGCTGAACACGAGACCCCTGGAGGTGTTCATGTGCAGCGTGCTGAAGAGACAGGGCTACGGCGAGGGCTTCCGCTGGCTCTCACAGTACATCGATTAGAGGAAGAGGAAGAGGAAGCACCACGCTCATCCCGCCTTCACAACCACGACTCCACTCACACAGACTGTTATCCTTCAGTTCATCGACTGGTTCTCACATTGTTTCTTACCAAAACCACAAACCTGCAGTGATTCTGCAAATGTGGTCAATTCCAAACAATGAATCTTCGCATTGGCTTCGGTTTTATTTACTCTGAAATTTGATGTTTTTTTTGTCCGTTGATCTCTTTCTGTTCATCAGGGAATGATTCTGCGTGTGTACTCACAGAAATGTTCACAGCTTCTGAGTCATTTGCGTCACATACTTCAAACAGGAAGTGCTTTGACTTCTCTCCAGTGTTTCGTTTCCTGTCGTCAGGCTTTAAGATGAAGTCGAGACTGTCTGTTAATGTGCTGATGTGGCCGTGTTGAATTGCATATCTGTTTTTGTTCTCCCAAAAAAATTAAAACAATTGTACTGCCACATTCAGAAATTAATTCCCAAAGCTACTGTAAACTGAAATAGACCAATAGTTGTTTCTCTTTTTTTAATATGATTTGGAATTGAAGACGGGCATGGCAATGAACCTCAGAGTAATGTGTGAGTATCATTACTGGCCACAAGTGTCTGATAATTTGGGCGAGAGCAGAGCATGCCTTCCACACAAACACACATTATTATTATATTTAACTGCTAATGACTAGTAACATGATGATGGTGAAAAGTGGACACACAGAAGATCGTGATGTTTGAAGCTGTTCGATAGCTTGCCTTGAACAGAAGGGTGCGAGTGAAATAAGGACAGCTGTTAATCAATGACATGGACAAAATATAATTTATGTAAATGCCATATATAGATTTTTTTAAAGCTGTCCTTGGATAGCTCTTAATTTGAATAACATGAATGAAAAAAAAAACATGCATGCCTTGTTCCATGATTATTATTAATTTTTATTAGTGTTTTTTTTTTTAATAAACACAAATAACATAGTGTAAAACATCTAAAACGGGGTGAGATGCCAAGGGCGCAGTCTTCTAGGTCTATTTCTATGGAGTCGCAGTGGAATGGCACATAAATGCATTTTATTTTCTGTACTGTCCTTCCATGTATCATTGTCATTCCATGAGCTACGAGAGATGCAGTTGTTTCCATCAGAAATTGTAATAAATATTTGCAATGAAAGCAAGCCATGTTGAGCTCACTTTTTTTTTGCTGAATTAAGTATTTAATATGTCTCGTATACATGCAGAGAGAAGTGTGGTGTAGGTGGTCCTGCAATAAAGCCAATGCAATCCAAACATCGGCGACAGATAAACCACCTCAGCCAGGGTTAGCAATGAACACCTGCCAAATGTGGCACGAATAACACCGTCAGCTCACAAACCACTGAAATCTCTGTATGAAATCTGAGTGCCACTGAGGTGCTCATGCATGTGAATACTTACACTTTCACTTTTTTGCTTTTCCTTCTGGCTTTTCTTAATGTATGAAGTTAATAATTATGCAAACTGTATAATGTTGATGTTTACAGAATAAAAAAAAAGAAAGTACTTAAGTTTCCAGGCAGATTTTAATTGATCAGATGCACAGCTCCGGAGCTCATTCCTGAGTCCCTTTCACTCTCAGCTCTGCGTCATGCAGGAGCTCTGGGTCTGTCCGTCCCCTGGTTCTGATCCATCACTCCATCCGGTGCTCATTACTCAATGCATCTCTAAAGAAGGTTTTGTGTGGTTGCCACCTTCAGCAGAGGAAACTTAAGACACGCTCTCCATTTCTTTATGCCACATCCCAATGGAAAATGTATATATAGCAATGCTCCTCAGGCTCTGCCGTGTTTCTCCGTCAAACAGGTCGAGGCAAGATCATAATCATTTGACTGTAAATTTGATCCAGAGGTAGTTGCATGAAAAATCAGTAATGCCTAGAAGTTGTGTTTTGTAGTTTAACCACACGGTGGCAGTATATTGTTCAAGTGTAGAGGTGCTACTTAGTATTCTCTAAGAAGCCATAATAGTCCTGTAAAATGTAGCATGTGTTGAATAAAGAGTTAAGAGGATTTACTTGTGCAGTTACTGAGTACTAGAGGACACAACAGAAGTCTGCTTTAATGCAGAGGTATTGTTGTGTATGTAGTATTAAAGTACGATGCCTTTTTTTTTCAGTTTGAGTAGCCTTATCTCGTCAGCTTGTCCTTTGGGTTTCTTTATGTCTATATAGACCCCAACAGCTGTGATTGGTCTTCTTTCTAACCCTATCACCCATCTTAAAAGATGTCTGCTGTAATAATAGAGTACTAAAGAACAAATCATAATCAAGGAACGAAACTTTCTGCTTTATAACAGTTTTTATTTGTGCACTTTGCACAAGCACTTTAAATATACAACAACCTGGATGCCAACTACCATTTCTTATTTTAGTGTGATTCTCACAACAACCATTCATATCTTTTAAATTATATGCTAAGTATAATGGTAAAAAAAAAGAAATTCATGTGCTAATACCAATTACAGATTAACATAAAAAACAAATATACTTTCAAAAAAAGAAAAAATGACCTGTAGACATACTTTATTCACATTTTATCAAGAGTTACCTAGAAAACTGTTAAGCCATTGACGAGGTGCCATTCTTCTGAATGTCTTAATGTCCGGAGGATCATTTTTATTCATTTTTTCCTGCTGTGTAGCCATCAAATTTTTCTCCTTTCACATTTTTTCGTCTTTCACAATGATTGTTCCTTTCACTTCCTCCAAGGTGCGTTTATCTCTTCTAATAAAACTAATAAAAAACAATAGGTAAAGTCTATAGATAAAGATGTATGGTTTGTTAAAACACACACACACACACACACACACACAATTCAAGTGCCTTACTGTTTGCATTTCTGCATTTGTTCCAGAGTCCCGGGCAGCACTTTTCCAAGCGTCTCCGGCAGAAACATGTTTGCTATTGAGGAAGCAATGGTCAGGCTTCCCATCAGGATGTAGGGCAGAGATTTGTTGAAAGTACCTTTATGAATAGAGAGAAGAACACAGCGTCGTTTCTCCAGTCCACTGTGATGCAGATGATTCGACACACAGGACAGGATTTACCCAGGAATATGATGTAAGGTGCGGTGATGCTGCCGATGCGAGCAGCTGAGGAGCACATGCCGATGCCCAGGTTTCTCAGCACGGTGGGATAGAGCTCCGCTGTGTAGATGTAGACCACGGTGAAGGACATGGTGAAGCCAAACTTACCAGCCATCTCTAATGCCAGTGCCAGAGTAGGCAGACCTGTCAAAGAGCCTCTTCATTATAATGACCACAGCGTTTAATAAAACAGCCTTGCCTGATGATCAGCCGTGGCTCGTCTGTAACTGTGACGAGACATAAATGACCCACACCCTGACTGAAAACATGAATTCTGAAGCAGTTATGTTTATTTACTGTATACACTCTTAAAAATGCTAGGTTAAATATAACCCAGCGCTGGGTTAAAAAGGGACAAACCCAGCTATTGGGTTGTTTTGACCCAGCAGTTGGGTTGTTTTGAACCCAACTGCTGGGTCAAAACAACCCAATAGCTGGGTCAAAACAACCCAATAGCTGGGTCAAAACAACCCAATAGCTGGGTCAAAACAACCCAATAGCTGGGTCAAAACAACCCAATAGCTGGGTCAAAACAACCCAATAGCTGGGTCAAAACAACCCAATAGCTGGGTCAAAACAACCCAATAGCTGGGTCAAAACAACCCAATAGCTGGGTCAAAACAACCCAATAGCTGGGTCAAAACAACCCAATAGCTGGGTCAAAACAACCCAATAGCTGGGTCAAAACAACCCAATAGCTGGGTCAAAACAACCCAATAGCTGGGTCAAAACAACCCAATAGCTGGGTCAAAACAACCCAACAGCTGGTTCAAAGCAACCCAACAGCTGGGTCAAAACAACCCAATAGCTGGAACCCAATAGCTGGGTCAAAACAACCCAACAGCTGGGTCAAAACAACCCAACAGCTGGGTCAAAACAACCCAACAGCTGGGTCAAAACAACCTAACAGCTGGTTCAAAACAACCCAACTGCTGGGTCAAAACAGCCCAACAGCTGGTTCAAAGCAACCCAACAGCTGGGTCAAAACAACCCAACAGCTGGGTCAAAACAGCCCAACAGCTGGTTCAAAGCAACCCAACAGCTGGGTCAAAACAACCCAACAGCTGGGTCAAAACAGCCCAACAGCTGGTTCAAAGCAACCCAACAGCTGGGTCAAAACAACCCAACAGCTGGGTCAAAACAGCCGCTGGGTCAAAACAACCCAATAGCTGGGTCAAAACAACCCAACAGCTGGGTCAAAACAACCCAATAGCTGGTTCAAAACAACCCAACTGCTGGGTCAAAACGACCCAATAGCTGGGTCAAAACGACCCAACTGCTGGGTCAACACAACCCAATAGCTGGGTTTGTCCATTTTTAACCCAGCGCTGGGTTATATTTAACCCAAAATTTTTTAGAGTGTATAGTAGCCTACATTAGAACGTCTGGGGTCTGAGTGTGTGCAGTTTACACTGTACAGCAAAACATATCGTCATTTTCCAATTATCACAGACCTTATTTTACTTATAACTTTAAATTTAAAATTAATTATGAATCCCCATGGGAAAATCTTGACGGACCCTGTAGTGAATTAGTCTTTTGCCATCACAGCTGCAGCACTGAATATAGTTCTGTAGTGTTAGCTTCATGTTTGTTCTGAAAATAGATGACTCTCTTTATCTCACACAAATTCCTCCATAACTCGTTACATTCTACAACATTCAGAGGCAATAAATACTAAGTTAATTCTAATATAGTATTAGAGCACTGAAACATTAGAGCGCCACCCTCAGGCTGAATAAAGACCAGACCTCTGCCAAAAGTGTTAAATGGGTCATATGATGCTGCTAAAAATAACATTATTTTGTGTATTTGGTGTAATGAAATGTGTTTATGCAGTTTAAGGTTAAAAAAACACATTATTTTCCACATACTGTACATTATTGTTTCTCCTCTATGCCCCGCCTTTCTGAAACGTGTTGATTTTTACAAAGCTCATCGTTCTGAAAAGCGAGGTGTGCTGTGATTGGCCAGCTATCCAGTGCGTTGTGATTGGTCCTCCATAAAATGCGTTGCACACATCTGAATATTTGGGTTGAAGTGTTCTGGAACAGTGTTGTAAATACAACTTAACCACTGATTTCTAGTCGTGTCCTCTTTTGGAAGACCAAACAAAGTAGTTTGGTTTTCACAACAAAACACACAGCGCCTTCAGGACATGGCGGCGGCAGCAACAATACTACAGCAAGAATAAAAGTTACGCCTTCTTTCTTTGCGTGAACATTTGGGCGGCGTTATGCAAATCTTCCCACATAGTGAGGTAGACATGTGGGGGCGTGTTCGAACGAGCCGTTTTAGGTAGGCGTGGCTGACTCTTAACTTTTATAAAGAATATCTCTTTGGATTTGAGACTTTAGTCTTTGCAACTTTACAGATCTTCTTTATGCACCAAGAGCTTGTAACACTCCAAAGAGAAAGGAACAATTGAAATCGCATCATATGACCCCTTTCAGTGATTAGAATATAAAGCATACAAAATTACCCAGGATCTGCTGCTAGCGCTGAGGATAGAGTATGATCTCTCAGAAAAATCTCTGAACAAGATAAATGTACCCGTTCAGACATACAGTACCAACCTTTTATGCATCCACACAAGACTTGACATATCTACAGCTGTATTCCTCCATATAAGCTGTAAATCTGCAAAAACTCAGATATATGAAAGTGTCCTGAAAACCAGTCCAGCTCTCTTTAATAAATGTGCAAGTAATAGGCTTATGGTCCAAGTCCAGTTTTACTTGCAGAGAGCATAAGCTAATCCTCGAGCCGTCATAAACTCACTGGCATTCAGAGATGTCTCCTGGACCAGGATTGGGTCGATAATCCTCAAACTCAGTCCTCTGTGTGCTTTCAGGGTTTTATAACAAATTCTTTCAATTCCACCTTTGCGTGTCTTCTGTACTGCTCTCGCTTACTCACTGCTGCTATTGTGCTGGCTCTTATATCATAAATCCTCTGCTAAATGAGTAAATGTACAGCTCTCATAGTTCCACCAACACTGTCCCTTTCTGTAAGTATTGTGAGCAAAAGATGCATGGACAGGAGTGTTTTTCTCTTCGAATCTGAATGTAAGGCTAATTTTCAAACAGAATCCCCCGTAGGATTTTGACAGTATTGTGTGTGTGAGCTCTTACTTTCAGGAATCAGCTGCAGCAGGAGCAGAAACCCTCCTCCGATGACGAGGAAAGCGGACAGGACGGGTCTCCGAGGACAGCTCTTCAGGAGAAGCGTGGACACCATGTAGGCAGGCACCTCAGTGAGCGCGGATAGGAAGCAGTTGAGGAAGGGATCGCCGCTGAGGTTAGAGGTATTCAAGGACAAGCCGAAATATCCAATGTTGATGGCCATCCTATCGGAGGAACAAAGAGACTCTCACTGAACTACAGCACATTAAACACACTCGTGTGTGACTGGATGAATGTCTCACCACAGCAGTAAACATAAGAACGTAGTTTTGCGGATATCTCTGGTCCGTAGAACGTCGAGCGCGCTGAACTTGCTGTTCTGGGACGCCGCCTCTTTAACCTAGCAATGACCATATAAACACAGATTCACTCTCCATAACACCTCCCAGCTGACAGGGAACGCTTAGGACAAAACAGACTTAAAGTGATGTTTATGCAACATTCATATAACATTATCCACATTTGATGTATGTTCTCATAATGTTGAGAGGAAACGCTCTTAACATATTAAAAAATGTGTTTTAAATGTTGAGAGAACATTCAAATGTAACGTTCTCATAACGTTTTCAAAATAACAGAATGGAATGTTCCTCTAACACTCGCATGACCAAGAAGAATCGTTCTCAATAAATAAAAAAACTGGATATTTTGAACGTAAAAAAACATTCAGAAATAACGTTTTCATAACTTAATGTTAGTAAAGCGCTCTTAGCACATATATATTTTTTATTTTAGCGGGGTTAGTCTCCACAGTGCAGCGGGAGCAGAAGTCAGACCTCGGACTCGCTGAAGATGACCTCTGGCGTAGAGACTTTGTTCTTCTCCGCTGCTTCTCTTACTATGGCCTCAGATTCCAGCACGCGTCCCTGAGAGAGAAGCCATCGCGGAGACTCCGGGATCAGCCTGTGCATTTGTTCAGGGAAAAAAGGAGTAATGGAGAGCAAAAGAAAGTATGATATTGTAGGGAAGGACTGAAGGTGGCCAATGATGAGAACTGCACCAATTCACAAGACGCGCTCACACTAGACTTTCAGCATGAGAAACACTGCAAGACACTGCAATGGGTCAGATGTGACACCATGCCTTGAAAACTAAAATTCAACATATAACAAATTATAACAAATCCAAAATGTAAAAGCACACAGTCCACTTTCCTGCAGTGCTGCAGCTTCTGAGCTTGTGTTTCCAGTATGAATGGAATGGAAAGTGTAACGTGACTGTAGCTTAAACCCTTCTGGTCTTCTTGGACTCACCACCACAGTGGGATGTAGACCACCGTCAGGCCCGACAGAACCCTCAGTAGAGACCTCCAGTCACGGACGGCGAAGGCGATCCACGGCAGCACCATGTAACCGATGCAATAATGCAGAAACACTCCCAGCGTCGTGAAGAGCACTCGCAGGGATTTACTCAGTACTTCACTACCTGTGAGCATACCCAAATCTAATCAATATAATAACATTCATACAGCATGTGGGTGAATATCTAAAATATCCCACACACACTCTTAAAAACAAAGGTTCTTTATTGGCATTGATGCTTCCAGAAGAACCTCGAACATGCATGAACTCTTTCCAACGCACAAAAGCTTCTTTATAATGGAAAAACTGTCTTTAGATTATTAAAATGTTCTTCACTGAAAGGATCTTTGGGAAACCAAATGGTTCTTCTATGGCTTCGCTGTGAAAAACCCAATTTAAATCCTTTATTTTTAAGAGTGCAGACTCTTAAACATGCTATTCCAGCAGATTATACTCACTTTCCTTCAATGACATCTCATTTTATAATATGCTTACCGAGCACAAACGCTGTGATGTACAGGGATATTTGGAAAGTGCCAACAAAAAAATACAGAATGCAAAAGAGCAGCCACGAGTCGGAGAAGGACTGTGCGAGGATCACTAGTGCTTCAGCTGCCAGAGACGCGAAGAGAACCTTCTTTCTGCCGAACCTGAGACACCAGACACACATGAATTACCGTGCAGTAAACAAAAATCACTGTCATCGTTGTCTCACTACACAAAGCTAAATCTGTAAAGCAAACAGCTGCTCTCATACTGTTCTCTTATAGTCAGCTATTTTGCATCAAACCTTTAAAAAGATTTGTGTGACTGTTGGCCCTGATTATGATTTGTGGACAAAAGCAGAACCTGTCAGAAAGTTGGCCGGAAACAAGAGAGCCCAACAAGTAGCCCATGTACAGTGTTGATGTTGTGAACGGGACTCTCCACTCGCTGTCACACACCAAATCCCACTGCGCCAGAACACACAACAGAATAACAGCTTATTACACACTGTTATTGCTGTTCAGTCACTGAGAGGAATTAGTTTTCATGCACTCAAAAATGAATAATGGGAGTGTATTTGAATCGATTTGGGTTTATTTCAACTCAAATTTCTTATCAGCATAAATCTGTTAATTGTGAAAACAAATTTAATCAATTTTAAAAATGGTTAATTTATGGCTGCTGTGGAACAAGCAAGATTCAGTTCAAATGTAACAAAGGATACAAACTGGATTGAAACCTGCTTAATTAAAACAGATTAAAACTCAAATCTCAGTCTTGTCTCATTTTTATGTATGACTGTCAAATATGCATCACATGAAGTTTATTGGTGTGTTAAAAGCGGATGGAAATGTTGCATTCACTCACTCACCTCAGAGACGATGGTGGAGTGGTATATTTCTGTGCTGTAGCTCCATCCGTCCACACACGTCTCTGCTGTAATGTCCGTGAGGTTGACCTCCAGCGGTGAGTAACCCAGAGCAGACAGGTTTCTGACCGTCTCCAGGCTGTATCTCCTACACTGACTTGGCTGTAGTTTTCCATTGACTGTCTCATTGGGAATACTGGCTTTCATCCATTCTTCACTTAGATTTCCATCTGCTACCCGACAGTGATGTGATGGTGAAGCCCCAACAAAAACAATGTAGAGGCCGTGAAACCCCGTGGAAATGTAGATGGCATTCAAGAGAAAGAAAAGGATGACAAAAAATTGTCCCTTTTGCCCCAGAAAGGCGGTGTCCTCGTCATAATTTGCCATTCTGCCTGTGCTGGAGATTACAGAAGAATCAGCTGACCGTCAAATGTCCAAACCCTCTGAATTACAGCATCTGACAGAGGTCAGCTTGGGCTTTTAGGTCTGTGGTCTTTGGAAACTCCTGGGAATTGGGGATGTTTGGAGGAGAAAGCTGCTCTCCACCTGGGCACATGAAGGAAGGTTGTGAGCCTTGTCACAGAGTTGTACTGCTCTTCAAACACAATGTACAACTAATCCAAGCCACATTTTTCCACTAAAACCAGCCAAAAGATTAAATCTGATTAGCTCTAATGGGAGTAAAACTCCACAGCAGGATCAGCAGAGTTTGGAAAATGCTTGAATCTAACTGTTATCAAGCTTTTGAATATCATCATTGAGAATGCATGCTGCTTTTTTATTATTAGAAATAAAGGTTTTCATTAAAGCATCATTAACTTGTGGATTCCTCGTGCATCGTGAGTCTCATTGCTACACGTGAAAGATAATTTAAGAATTACGTCCTTCATCAGTTCAGCCGGGAAAACATTTCTGCTTGTCTGAAAGAGGAGTATGAGTTATTTGTGAAGAGCAACAACACGAAAATGCTCATAATTCACAAATCAGACACCTATGTTTGCGCTGCACAGTCACCCCAAATGTGAGCTAAAACACTTTTTATTAAACAAACCGTTCCTGAAATACTGAACTCTAAGCGACGCGTTTAATCTGCAGCGAATAAAATCCACATTAGGACTCATCGTTGTACTGAAATCACCCACTGTTAACAACATTTTAGTTTCTTCTCTTCGCATTAAATTACGTCTTATTTAATAAAAACCAGCCGAGAGAGTAAAATACATAGCGATAAAGTTTGACGATGCGGATTCTGTAACTGTAGATTTGACATCTTTCTCTCTTCTGATTGCCATAATCTGATTGCTCTCTATTTTTTTTCCATTTTTGGAAAGTCTTGGAAATGCTAGGATGCTCCGTTTACTCCGTGTGTGTGTATATAGGCTATATATATATAGCATCGACTGCCACCGCTTTTGCCACTTTTGCAGTGATCGGTTTAAAACATATAGTTCATTATAGTTAATTCATATTCATTAACTATGTGTTTTCTAACGTTATAAATATGCCTAAGCTTTAAGTGAAACGACTCAGAACTATTCAGCAACATATTCTGAATATCAAAACGTCATGATATCAACAAATATTCATTCACATATTCAAAATAGTAATTGAAGCCAGAGCTTTTATGGATTAAACAAAATGTGCAATGGATAACTTACTTTCAGTTCTTGATGTGGGTGAGAGTTCACTGAATGTTTCTCCTGCTCCTTGACCTGTGTCTATGACCATGCCATCTGTTATTTAACCTTTAACTTCATCATCAGATGCATTAACCGCTGACCAGATTGCCACCATTAATGACTGATGAGATCTGATTCATCAAATCTTTGAGAAGATACACCTAGCAAGTGCAAAGTGAAGTCTCTGATGACAGAACCTGTAATGAGTGTATTATCAATGACAGATATGAACACACAACAGCAGTAATGACACGATTAAACGCTGGCAAAAGAGAATGCATGTTCTTTTGCTAAATGCAATGAGTTTATGCCATCTTGAGCTTAATTGCAAATGCCTGCAGAAAACAAGAAGAAAGAAGTTGTATTTATTGGATATTTCAATGGGATATAATCCAGTTTATGCATACATTGGGTATTGTTGGAAGACAAGTGATGATGATGATGACATTTGTAATGGTGCTCTGCTGTGTGGGTTTGATTTATTTACAGATGTCTATGATCACAGTACACATCTGTGAAGACATCACTGAATTACCATATTTAACAATGTCTTCAAGCAATGATCAAAGACCACAAACAGGTCATGCAAAAAAGAGAGAATTTGTGTCTCGCATTGTGAGAGAGATGTCAGTAGATCAGTATCTCTATTTTTCTGGCAAACTCTGAATCTGTAGAATCAGAGATAGCGCTGAGTGTTTGAATCACAGTCTTTATCTTTAAAGAGACTGTCACATCAGTTCTATCAGAAGGAGACTGTTTGTTACCCAAATTGCCAAAAACAAAAAGACATTGTTGAGGAACAGTCGGTCTAATAGAGAGACCCGTGTGGATAAAGACCTGAGAGATTTTACTTCTCAATTCTCCTCACGTCCAATAAAAACTGTCAGTAAGACATGTTACAGATAATATGCAAAATCAATTCAAGTTGTTATGATCTTTACAGATTTCTAACATTCTGACCTGGGTAAATTGAAGGCTGGAATAAACTACACCACAGATTTTTGCCCCATTTTGCAATCTGGAGTCAATGCTGTTTGCAGAGTTAGTTACAGTTTCTAAAGATTGCTTGAACCAGTTCCTTCTCAGACATTTCCTTTCCCCATTCTAAACAACTTACAGTGTACAGTCCAGTCACTTACAGTACACATACAGTACAGTCCACAGCACAGTATAACCCCCGGTGAGACTGGATTTCCCCACCTTTAGTAAGTGGATGACCCTGTTGCATTTATTGAACGTTGCGAAGAGTATTTTGCTGTTCGTCCTCTTGGTGATGGTGAAATCCTCGCTTCACTCTCTGCTGTTCTCCAAGGTACTGCAAGGGACTGGTGGGTGGCAGAACGAAGGAATGTGCGCAACTGGAGACAGTTTAAAGAAAGTTTTCTGCACTCATTTCTAAGTGAGGACTATGACGATGTTGCAGTAAGAAAATTGTTGGAGAGGAAACAAGGTGCCAAAAAAAGCATCAGAGATTTTGCATTCCACTATCGAGCATTGTGTCTGAGGGGGAGAAAAGAAATGTCTGAGAAGAAGTGGTTCAAGGAATATAAGAGTCAGAGCAGGTCTACAGGTTTTGGTCAGTCAGAGTTATGATTTTAGAACACACTATATTAAGAGAATGTGGTTCAATGGATTGTAAGTTTACTGTAGTAATATTCATGATTTAATTGGTGAAGGGTTAGGTGTAGGTGAGCTTTAGGGACAGGGGCAAGGCAAGCTCCCAATAAGGCAACATATGTTTATGTATAATATACACCGAACAAAAATATAAACGCAACACTTTTGTTTTAGCGCCCATTTTTCATGAGCTGAACTCAAAGATCTAAGACTTTTTCTATGTACACAAAAGGCCTATTTCTCTCAAATATTGTTCACAAATCTGTCTAAATCTGTGTTAGTGAGCACTTCTCCTTTGCCGAGATAATCCATCCACCTCACAGGTGTGGCATATCAAGATGCTGATTAGACAGCATGATTATTGCACAGGTGTGCCTTAGGCTGGCCACAATAAAAGGCCACTCTAAAATGTGCAGTTTTACTGTATAGGCCTTTTGTGTACATAGAAAAAGTCTTAGATCTTTGAGTTCAGCTCATGAAAAATAGGGGCAAAAACAAAAGTGCTGCGTTTATATTTTTGTTCAGTATATATATACTGGCCGAGCGTGTTTGGTCTGCTCTCTCACTGAATCATACAGCCTTCTCCTGGCCTTGGGTCTGAAATTAATGGGAGCTTGAGGCAAAAATGTCACTAAATTGGACAAAAATGCCCCTGCTCAGTTAAACTAAATCTATTACGGCTGTCGCGAATAAAGTGAAAATGAAATGAAAAGTGTTGATTGCGGCATTACATTTAGCTCATATCGCATCATATTTCTTTTTACACATTTTTACAGCGTTGCGCATTTTAACCAATCACACACAGATTCTGTTGAGTTTATGACTTTGTTGAGCTAATGGCCAATCAGAAGCGTTCAGATGAGTCCTCGCTGGAACGCCTGCACTCTCGCGAATCCTCTCATCGTAAACAACAGTGCAGATGTGTGTGCGATGCAAGTAAGAGATTCATTTCACAGTGTAAACAGCTTCATTGAGAGTGCTTAAACTGCCATAAACTATCTAGTGATAATGTGATAGCATATGTAAATGTTATTTGCTTGCTTTAGATAATGAAATAGTTCATATTTCACACATTTACAAGTTTATAATCAATATTTTAATGCAGTTGGCTATAATTAAAAATTGAATTAATGCGTCCAGAGGAATGTGTGGCTGCTAGTTGAAGAATAAATAAATCCCACATTAAAACATGATTCCACGAGATCATCAAAGTAAAGCAGGAGACAGAAGGCTTTCCTACACGGTCTGCTAGATGAACTCTAGCTGTAGCCTAAAGGTCATTTCCACCACACGTTTCTGCTGAACGCCTGCCGCACATTTCTCTGAGAAGCGAAAGTGAAACAGCAGAGGCTTCAAAACCTTCAGTGTTTCTGAGCTCGTCCTGAAGCCTCTGCGTCCACCAGGAGCTCGGATAAACCGCTTTTATTCTGTTCACTAGACGCCACGACCGATTCTCAGGTAAGCGTGTTTCAGTCCCTCAATCTTGAGGTTGTTTATAGTTAGAGGACTTTCTGATGATTGCTCAGAATGACTCCAGCTGATTTCACACCAGCACATCTCTACAAACTGCTTTTAATGCCATGGTTTAGAAATGCCTTGTAGCTTGTATTGTGTTTGCTGGTCTGAGAATTGTTGAGTTTTGGGAGTTTCATTGATAATTTCATGTTCTGTGACGATCAGAGCAGCTCTGCTGGCGAATGTGAAAGAGAAAGTGATTCGGCATGAAAACACTGAGGCACATTTAGTTCAGGTTAGATCGGATGCTCGATGTTCCTGTGTTACTAGGCATCGTTACATTGGGTTGCATCGTTAAATTAGTGATTGTTGTGCTCTGAAAATCTCTGGCGGCCATCTAACGGTGACGGTGATGTAACTCGCCCGGTCGGTCTCTACCGGAGAACGGGATGTTCCAGTCAACGGAATCAAGATGGAACAGAACGTTCTCGGCTCGGGTTTCGCTGTTCTGTTATTGCGCCCTTCATCGCTAGCTTATTCCACTGTTGCTTTGTGATCACGATTACAGGTTTGTTCGCGAGCGGCGGATCACCGGGCTTCAGCAGAGCGCTGCCCGCGGTGTCCAGAAGGGGGCAGTCTGACCTCAGACATCCGCAGACAACGAGCCGAGGCCCTTGAGAACTTCAGGGGTCCCAGGTCTTTACGCTATATTGATGTGCGCATGCCCAGTAGTTTTTGCTGTATCTCTTCTAGCCTTAACCCTTCTAGCCACAACTGCTTTGCAACCAGAAGCTTTAGCTTAGCTTTAGCTACCTGAAACTGAGGAAAGGACTAGAGATGCTATAACAATTGGTAAATCTGATAAAAGACAGAAAGTTCATCCAAATAAAATAAATAGTTTTAGAGCCTACATCTCAAAAATACAAATGTATCAAAAATAAAAAGAAATTGGCCCCAAACGAGCCAGCTGAACAGCAGTGCTCAATGTACACACACAACACACACTCCACACTCACTCACTCACACACACACACACACACACACACACACACACACACACACAGCTTGATATACATACAAGTGACTCCTCCCCTAACAGATGTAATCTCACTCCAAACTTTTGATATAACTTGAGAGCCCTGGTATGGTACATGGTACAGTATTCTTATTACTTTAGTGTTGGGTAAGTAATTAATTACTAGCTATTAATTACATCTTCAACAGTGTAATTAGATTACTTTACTAATTGCTTTCTAAATCCCATATCAGCCTCGATCAGTTGAGCAATACAAGGATAGGCTCTTTTAATTCATTCAAATTAATAATATTAAATGGCATAAATTATTGACCAAACTATTTAAAGGGAGAAGGTTACATTAAAAACATTCATTTTAACATTAGATGTTACATTTTGATGTTAAATCCACTATTGCTTTATGTAGAAAAGTCTATACAGTATTTAAGGAAAATAATTAAATTACAGTAATTAATTGCTCAGTAATGCATTACACCCAACACTGATATTCATCTTCCATGCTTTAACCCTCATGCTCATGTTGTGTTCCGGTTCATTTTCTTCTTCTCACATAGGGTAGAACAACTCCCCCACCAAAAAAAATAAAATAAATATATATATATATATACAATATATTTTTTACAAACCACTTTGATACACTTGTGGTGTTTCTCGTGAAAAATGACCGGCCTGCAAAACAATAGCTTATACATTTCTTGTTGTCAGATGTTGGATTCAGTATTTTTTACCAGTTAGCACAGGTTTTGTATTTCTCTTTGGAAACGACTGATCAATGGCCTCACTGATCAATGAGTCTGAATCCGAGATTTGGTGATAATATAGCATAAGAGAGATTTGCAAGCGATTTTTAGAAGGCTGATCATTTCTGACCAGGAACACAGAATCAGCTCAAGGATTTTCAGCAGCA